AATACACGAGAATGGTGGGAAATAATTTTGAAGAGGCATTGTATTCCTTTTACTGGAGATACTGAAAAGAAGAGCATAGAAGTTGCTAGGCAAAGTAACTTTGACACATAATCAAGTAACAGATATGTAGTATTTGATCAAAGTATAAGAAAATTAAATGCTTAGAATATTGTACAGAGAATTTATAGTCAACTTTTCTACTTGACAGTAGAAAAGCAGTCTAATTAAAAAATAAGCAAAGACTCAGAATGTACAATTCTCCACAAATATAGGAATGGACAACAGATCCATAATAAGGTGGCAAATACCACTAATCATCAGAGAAACAAAAATCAGATTCTTTATGAAATCACCTCACATCTATTAGGGCATTTGTTCTCAAAGACATAAGAAATGACAGAAGTATTAGTGAGGCTGTAGAGAAAAGGAAGCCTTTATATTATGTGGGTGGCTGTGCTGATTAGTACTCATTTACAGGAAATGGTTTTTAAGCACTTAAAAACAGAACCAGCAACCTCCCTTCAGTATATAAGCCCCAAAGAAATGGACTCACCACCTCTCAAAGATAACTATAGTCTAGTGCTCAATGCAGCATTATTACCAATAGTCATGATATTAAAATAACCTAAATGTCCCATTAGTGAATGAAAAAAAACCAACAAACATTTTGTGTGTCTGTGTCTGTGTGTGTGTGATGTTCCATTGCAATGCAATGTAGTTATTATTTAAAACAAGTCTGCAGTTCAACAAAATGAATATCAGGCAGCTGAAACATGTTTTTTGAATGTTAGTAGAGGAAGGGAATGAATGGAAAAGGGAAAGGTGGGTGAATGTAGTCCTAATACTTAAGGTACATATGTGAAAAGGGAAGTTAGTAACTTCGTATGACTGGGGAAGAAGGGTTGGATGAGGAGAGAAGGATTGAAGAGTGATTCAGATCCAGATACCCTGTACACCTGAATGGAAATGTTAAATGGTGACTCCCTTGTACAACCATTTGTACATTAAAGAAAGATTTTTAAAGAGGTCAGAAGCTAGCTGCCAGTAGCTCATGCCTGTAATCCTAGTCACTCAAAAGGCTGACATCTGAGGATCTAGGTTCGAAGCCAGCCTATGCATTAAAGTTCATAAGATTAATCTTCGATTACCAAAAAGCCAGAAGTGTAGGTGTATAGTTCAAGTGGTGAGGTGATAACCTTCAGTAAAACAGCTCAGTTCAACCCCAAAGACCAGAACACACACACACACACACACACACACACACACACACACACACACACACACACACACACACACACACACCCCTGCCAATCTGCCATTTGGCACATGTCTGAACTTAGAGGACATTATTAAAAGTGAAAAATTCAAAAAAAGAAATGCAGACATTGCATAATCTCACTTATTTCTATATCTTTGTAAAAGTAAAAACATCAAATATACAGATGTGGTGAACAGGTTAGAGTAAATGAGTTGAGCAATATAGATGAGAGGACTAGGTCAATATCTTCAGACTAGCATGTGTTGGATAGACAGGTACAGGCACTGTATTGTGTTGAGTATTTTTGCTAAATGATTTCAGCAAAAGTATGAATTTAGCTGTTCTTACCATATACAAAATATGAGTAACAATGGGAGATATGCCAGTTTGCATAACCACAGTAACCATTCCCTTAAAGCTGTTTTTCTTATGGATGGAGTTTGAACTTCTGGTCTTGTGCTAGGCAGACATTCTACCTGATCCATGCCTCCAGTTCATTCTTGCTGCCCTGTGTAATTTTGAGTTAGGGTATTGCTCTCTGTCCAGGAGCACATCCGGACAATGGTTTGCCTATTTTAAGCTTCCTGTCATAGCTGGAGTGACAGGTGCTCAACCCCATCCCCAGCTCCTTTTCATTGAGTTAGAGTCTCTGGACTTTTCTACTCATTCCAGCCAGCCAGCCTGGAACCATGATCCTTCTGATTTCAGTCTCCAACACAGCTGTGATGTTAGATACACACCACCACACTAAGTTATTGAATGAATTCTTTTTTTTTAAATTTATTGTGAAGATACTGTACAGAAGGGTTACAGTTATATGAGTAAGGTAATGAATACATTTCCTATCGTGTATTGTCATCTCCTCCTTTGTTTTTAACCTTCTATCCCTTCCCTCCCCACCTTCACAACTCCTCCCTCTCCTGCCAAGTTGTAAAGTTTGTTTTCAACATAGTGTTTTGTACATCTCATTGTTACAATGGTTCACCTTGTACCCTTATTTAAGCAGTTTGTTATTATATGTTTTTCTGAAAAATTCTTTCTTTCCCCTTAAGATCCAAACTACAGAATTTATTTCTATTTTTGTTATTTTATAATACTGGGGATTGAGGTATATGAGGTAGGCACTCCATCACTTGAGTTTTGCCCAAGCACTTTTTGATTTTGTTATTTTTTTTTATTGTGAAAATACTGTAGAGATGGGTTGCAGTTACATGAGCAAGGTAATGAGTACATTTCTTATCAAGCATTGTTGCCTCCTCCTTTGTTTTTCCCCTACCATCCCTTCCCTCCCACCTTCTCAACTACGCTCTCTGCCCCCAACTGAATTGTAAAGTTCATTTTTCGACATAGCGTCTTGTACATCTCATTGTAGCAATGGGTCCACCTGTATCCCTATTTAAACAATTTGTTTTTTCCCTTCCCCTCCCCAAATTATAGCAACATCAGATGCAGTAAAAACAGGGGTTATACCGTGGGGGAGGGACATACAAAGCAACAAAAAAAATCACATGTTACATTATAAATATGTTAGAAACAATAGCAACAAAGGAAAAAAACACTCATGTCCCTATCTTCGTTTTCATTTCGCTTTAACATCATCTTATCTGATCTTTTCTGCTTGTCCCTGACATATACTAGTTATTGTAAATAAGGGAAACCATGAGAACTATGTTTCTTCGGGCCTGGCTTACTTCACTTAATATAATTTTTTCCAAGTCTTTCCATTTCCTAACAAATGAGGCAATGGCATTCTTTCTGATGGAGGCATAGAATTCCATTGTGTATATATACCACATTTTCTTGATCCATTCATCTACTGAGGGGCATCTGGGTTGGTTCCATATCTTAACTATGGTAAATAATGCTGCAGTAAACATAGTTGTGCTGGTAGCTTAAGTGTGGTCTTGTTTGTGATCATTTGGGTAAATGCCCATAAGTAGGATTGCTGGATCATAGGGGAGCTCTTTTGAGGAACCTCCATACTGCTTTCCTAAGTGGTTGAACAAGGTTACACTCCCACCAACAGTGCAGTAGGGTTCCCTTCTGGCCACATGCCCTCCAGCATCTGTTACTAGAGTTCTTGATTATAGCCATTCTAACTGGGGTGAGGTGGAATCTCAATGTTGTTTTGATGAGCACAGCTGAAATCAGGAAAGCAACTCAATTCGTAATAGCCCCACAACAAATAAAATACCTAAGAATTAACCAAAGAAGTGAAAGACCTCTATGATGAAAACTTTAAAAACCTGAAAAAGAAATCAAAGCAGAACTTAGAAAGTGGAAAAAAACCTCCCAGGCTCCTGATCAGAAGGATCAACATCATGAAAATGGCAATACTTCCCAAGGCTATCTACAAATTCAATGCGATACCTATCAATATTCCAACCTCTTTCAAGGAAATAGAAGAGGCAATCCAAAAATTCATAGGGAACAATAAAGACCACAAATAGCAAAAACGATCCTTAACAGAAAGAACAGTGCTGGAAGAATATCAATACCAAATTTCAAACTCTACTACAAAACCATAGTAATCAAAACAGCTTGGTACTGGCACAAGAACAGACATCAGGACCAATGAAATAGAATTGAAAACCCAGAAATGAACCCACAGACCTATAGCCATCTAATCTTTGATAGGGAGCTAAAAAAATAGAATGGAAGAAAGACAGCCACTTCAGTAAATGGTGCTGGCAAATTTTGTTAATCACCTGTAGAAAACTAAAGCTAGATCCTTATATATCACCCTGCACCAGAATCAACTCCAAATGGATCGTAAGCAGACACCTTGAAAACATTACAGAATAGAGACCCAGAAACACAACAAATCAAAGAAAGGTTAGACAAATTGGCTTGCATGAAGCTGCAGAGCTTTTGCATGGAAAAGGTCATAGCTAGCAAGATCAATAGAAAGCCCACAGAGTAAGAGATCTTCACTATCCATACAACGGACAAGGGTCTCATATCTAAAATATACTTGGAACTCAAAAAATTAAATCCCCCAACAACAAATCCTCAAAGAAACAACTGCCTGATAAATAAGTGGGCTAAGGACTTAAAGAGAAACTTTTCTGAAGAGGAAGTAAGTATGGCCAATAGACACATGAAGAAATGCTCAACCGCTCTAGCCATAAAATAAATGCAAATCAAAAAGAGATCCTACCTCACCCCAGTTAGAATGGTAATAATCAAGAACTCTAATCACAACAGATACTGGAGGGGATGTGGCCAGAAGGGAAGCCTACTGCATTGTTGGTAGGAGTGTAAACTTGTTCAACCAGTTAGGAAAGTAGTATGGAGGTTCCTCAAAAGACTCCACATAGAGCTCCCCTGTGACCCAGTGATTCCACTTTTGGGTGTTTACCTGAATGATCACAAACAAGATCATACTAAACTACTAGCACAACTATGTTTATTGCAGCATTATTTACCATAGCTAAGATATGGAACCAACCCAGATGCCCCTCAGTAGAATGGATCAAGAGAATGTGGGATATAAAAATATATATGTATATATATATATTCCAACACACACACACACACACACACACACACACACACACACACACACACACACACACAATGGTATTCTATGCCTCCATCAGAATGAATTCTTATGTGTATGTTCAAACTGGCCTCAAACTAGAATCCTCCTGATATCAGTCTCCCAGGTAGTAAAAATTCAGATGTGAGCTACCAGCATCTGATTTAGCTCTTTTTATTTTGTTTGTTTCTCCTTTCATAGGTTATTAAGATATACAGTGAGGATGAAACTAGCCGGGCTTTGGAGGTTCCCAGTGACATAACTGCCCGAGATGTCTGCCAGCTCTTGATTCTGAAGAACCATTATGTTGATGACCACAGCTGGACCCTGTTTGAACACCTGCCTCATATAGGTGTAGGTAAGAATCCAGAATCATAGTTTCAAATTTTTTTTCTAACAGAGATCATATGTCAAAGGCTTTCTTTACCTGCATAAAAACAGAGAAGATGGAATTACATGTTGAAGGTTGTTCTTTTTTCTCTCTTTTTATTTTTGGCTAACAGTTTTTGACAAAAGCCCAGAATGGAAAAAAGATAGGGTATACAGTGGGAGGAAAGGGATGGTAGGGGGAAAACAAAGGAAGAGGCAATAATGTTCAATAGGAAATGTACTCATTACCTTGCTCATGTAACTGTAACCCATCTGTACAGCATTTTTACAATAAAAAAATGTACAAAAATATATTATAAATTTACTGCCTTTCCTTATTAAAGTAATAATTTAGGGCAAACTTTGGAACTAACACATAGTTATTATTCATGGAGAGATGAATTTAATAATTTTAGTAGTATAACGTAAACTTTAGGAGAAATTAAGGAAACAACATGTCTCGTGGACAGCTTCTTGAATTGACTAAAATGTGGGCAGCTACAGGTTAGTGTGCTTGTATTTTTCTTTATGAGAATGTACAACATACATTTTTCTTGAAGAAATAAGTTAAGTCCTGCACATTTCAATGCATAAGCACAATGAATAAACTTTTAAAATATTTAATTGGAAATACATCTCTGCATTGTGAACTGTGGAGAATGCTTGGCATATTTTTTTAATTAGAAAAAAGTCATTCCTATATTGGAGCTGATAGGGTCTGGAAACAGTCTTATTCTCCAGTTTATACATTTGTAGATATTAATATGAAAAATTATGTTTCTGTGTTTAAGTAGATGAGAAAGGGAAGTGTTTGTAATGGAAAAGTCATTTCATTATTTGAACTCTGTACTAGTTTTATTTGGTTGCTGAAATAATTTATCACAAACTCTGTAGCTTAAAAATCACAGGAATTTATTTTCTTACACTTGTGGAGGTCTGAAACTAGTATCAGTGGATTGAAACATAGGTGTCAATGGGGATATGTTTCATCCTTAACTCTTCCAGAATTCCTTGGCCTGTGGCTCTATCACTGTCAACTCGGTTTCTATGGTCAGATTACATACTTGTTTTCTTTCTTATAATAGTATTACTTAGGAACCTTCTAGTAATGGATAAACTCCTTTCAGAGATCCTCAATTTAGTCATATATCCAGTTTATTTTTTAATGTCTATAAAGACGACCTTCACAGTATCTTGGAATTAACATATTGGAATCACAAATTGCTTTTCATTATAAGTTAAAAAGCCTTGAGTGACAAACCACCAAAGTCATTTTAAATAACTAATCATTGACAGCTCAATTACTTCCATCAGTTGATTTAAGAATGTAAAAGAATTTCATTGATAGTCATTAAAGTCATTCCCTTTCTTGCACAGCTGCTAATGTCTAAAACGGTCCCTTTGGAGGGTTTACACCCACAACCATTATTCCATAGTAAATGTTGATTTTGATATGTTTTGACTTCCTCTCTTGAAATGGAATTTTAAAAATTATCTTTAAGTAGTAGCACAAAGGAATTTCCATTTAACAAAGCAGTTAATGAATACAATGTATCTTGGTCTGTTTCACTCCTTTTAACATTCTCACCCACCTCTCCCACTCTTCTCTTACTTTTCTTAATTTTGTAATATATACATTGAATTTTTGACTTCGTTCTCTCCTCCTTCTCATCATTCATCTACCCTTATCCCCTTGGCCCCACCCTGCCGTGTAAGTACCATTTCCTGGTGCTTATTTTATTGGGCTTTTTGATTTTGCCTTTCTAAAGAATTACACTATTTGAGTTCTCCCTTGAATCTACTATATTTCAGTTAATACATTTATATAGCCTTGCATAACTCCCAATGCATTTATTTATAGGTTTATAGGTTAATTCTAGCTTTCACATATAAGGGAAAACCTGCAACTTTTGTTTGTCCTTTGGGCCTGACTTACTTCACTTAATATATATTTTTTCAAAGTCCCCCATTTCTTTACAAATGGGATGATATCATTCATTCTAATGAACGAACAAAATTCCATTGTGTATATATACACCATTTTCTTGCTTCATTTGTCCATTGAGGGAATCTGGGCTGATTTTATACCTTGGCTATGGTGAATAGTGCTGCACTGAACATGTTTGTACAGTAACCCGGTTTGGATAAATGCCCAGGAATGGAATTGCTGGGTCATGGGCTAGTTCTTTTTTTTTTTTTTTTTTTTTGTAGATTGTGGGGCTTGAACTAATAGGGTAGTTCTATGTTTAATTTTTTAAAGGACCTCCATTCTGCTTTCCAGAGTGGTTGAACAAGTTCATATGTCCACCAGCAGTATAATATGTGTCTCTTCTGAGCACAACTTCGCTATCATCTGTTACTGTTTGTTTGGTTGATAATGGCCATTCTAACTGGAATGAAGTAGAATCTCAGTGTTGTTTTGATTTGTATTTTCTTTATGGCCAGAGATGTTGAGCATTTCTTCATGTAAAAAAAGTTGCCAGAAATGTATTTGTAGGAGGACTCATTTTGTAAGCAAAGTGAGTTTGCCTCACCCCACCTGCACTCCTGGATTGTTAATGGTCCATTTGGTGACCGCTGCCTTGGGACATGCCAGAACTTCAGGGACAGGACAAGGAAGCTCGTGGGAAAGCAGAAGCATTGCTTCACAATCTCCACAGGGATTAGGGAGCTAAGCACCTTCTCATCTGGTGGTGTAAGGACTGCAGTAATGCTGCACTAATGGTGCTGTTGACAGCTGAGCATAGACAGTGACATACCTTCCAGGATATCTGAATTCTGAAGGTAAACTGTACTAGCCAGTGTGACTTTCTATCTCCTGGGACAGAAAAACTTCAACGTATGTTTTCTGCTGTGTCCTTTATGACTAATTTAATTTCCACTCATCATGATCTCTCCAAAGTGTGATGTTAATTCTCAATAGACACTTGCCACATTCCAAATCATTTCCTTTGCTTATTCTGGCAGGAATATAGATCTTAATTAATAAAATATTTAATACAGTCTTTTTTGCTCTTACTTTTTTTTTCTTTTGGGGGAGTTTAAAAAACATTTTAATTATAATCACTAGAATGTACTCTGACAAATATCTTTGAAGTTGAGTAATAAAAATCCACTCTGTAAATTAAATAGCAGTTTTCACTGAGATCCCTGCAAATTATTTATATTAAAGGATGAAATCTACAAGGCTTTTAATGTAAAAGCTTAAAATGGAACATTGAGAATTAATGTCAGTTACATGTGAACTTTAAATATCTAAGTCTTCAGTGATAATTCAAGTATATTTCTTCATTACAGTGTGTTCTAGAAACTGCTGATAGAAAAACCAAAAATGTAAGAACATTGTCTTAATCTCATCAACCTTGCATGAGACCAAAGTATATGAGAGGGAGCTTTGATTCTGGCACTTTCTTTTGTTATTTTCTTTTTGTTTTTCACTCCAATTATGTATTAAAACCAAGCAGCTCCATACTTGCATGTAGGATATTAAGAAATTCTGGTTCTTTTAAGTAACAATGTAACTACTGAGATGCCTGTCCTTTCTCAGCATCAAATACAAGCAAATGTTTCTTGGAAATTTTCTTGTGGCATTCACTGTTGAGAAGTTTCTAAATATAGTATTTAGTATTCAGTCTTATAATGGTATTGCATCATTCTGAAAAGAACTAGAATGAACTGGTTTTTGTTCTCCCTTAAATATGCTACTTTAGCTGCAGAAATCCTCATTCAATTAAAAAGATGATTTTAGATACTTCGACTTCTAACACTTCTGTGAATGCTATTGATGACAAAAACCAAAGGACAAACTACAAAAACTTGGGGCTGGGAAGGTGGCTCAGTGGTAGAGTGCTTGCCTTGCATGCATGAGGCCCTGGGTTCAATTCCTCAGCACCACATAAGCAGAAAAAAAAAAAGCCGGAAGTGGCGCTATGGCTCAAGTGGTAGAGTGCAAGCCTTGAGCTGAAGAGCTGAGGGACCGCACCCAGGCCCACAGTTGAGGGCCCACTGTTGTGCTCAAGTCCCAGGATCCCCACCAAGAAGACCACCGAGAGTCAGACGTTCTGAAATGCAAAAGCAAGGTTTTATTTAGACTGGTTGCAGCTCGGGCCTTGTCCTACACTCTGACACAGCGGAGCCTAGGAGGAGAGCCCGAGCTAAACATTTACAGGGCTTATAAAGGCAAACAACCAGGTGTTTGGATTACCACCACATGTTGCTCTGCTAGCTGAGATAAACAAGCAACAAATGGTCACTGCCTCATAACCCTTCATTCCCCCCTTGACTTATGGTCCTGAGACACAATCTTGTGGCTCCTGCTCAAAACTAAACTCCAAAAGCTCTCGATCTTGAACGAGTTCTTTTCTTTTCTAGTCCCTCTCTGACCTTAGCCATACTATTAAACAAAAATACCAATAACAATCAGTCCATTTTTCTTTTCTTGAGGCGTACGTGGAATGGTTGGGTAGGATGCTTAGAGACTTCCCATGTTTCCCACGGTCGTTTGGCGTGGGAGCAGTGGATCCAAGCAGCAATGCCATCCACCTTAAGGGCAGTGAGTGTAGCCAGTAGCACCATGTAAGATCCCTTCCACCGTGGTTCCAGAGATCTCAAGTCGTGCCTTTGAACGAACACCCAGTCCCCTGGTTTAAACAAATGGGGGGTAGGAATAGAAGCAGAGTCATCTAATGCTCTAAGCTGGGGCCACACACTTTTGTGGACAAGCTGTAGATAGTCAAGTTTACATAGAAATTGAGTATCACTCAAATCAGAAAGCAATTCAGTCTGAAGCTAGGGATAATGGGTGGAGGGTGTCCATAGATTATTTCAAAAGGAGTTTTACTCCTTTGAGTAAAGGTGAATTTCTTACTCTAAACAGGGCAAAAGGAAGGAGCAATACCCCGTCTGCACCAGTCTCCAAAGCCAATTTAGTTAAGGTCTCTTTTAGAGTCCAATTCATTCTTTCTACCTGCCCTGAACTCTGGGGTCTAT